GTAAACGGTAGACTTATATACAATGCCTCCAAATAATCCAGCTCTGGCAAACAGTTTGAACCCATATGTACACATTAGGGGCGTATATCAACAGACCAGCAGCGTCACTCATATATACTGAGTCAAGTATGTACAAAGAAATGTCACTTCATCCCCACACAATTACGACATCCAAACCGGCCGATAATCCAATTACAACTTTTGGCCAGCAGCGCCGGGGACGGAACCGGCAACCTTACCGGAGCCGAGAGCGGCAATCTTGTAAGGCAGCGAGGCAGAGGTGAGAGTTCCCTTGGGAACAGAGTTCTTGGAGCCACCGAGGTCGACATCCTCAGCGACGGCGTATCCAGTCTCCTTGGAGTCGGCGAAGAAGATGGCCTCGGCGGGGCAGCTGTTGAAGGCGGTACTCTGGACGAGGACCTGGGCGCCCATGCGGGAGTTGATGCCGGTAAGCAGGAGCTTGTCGTAGTAGGAGTTGACGACATGGACAGTGCCGAAGCGGACGAGGGGAGTACGGGAGTTGATGTTGGTCCAGTGGTTGTTGGCGTAGGTGACGTGGAGCTTGCCCTTGTCCTCACTGCCGTTGCTGTCGGAGTGACCGACGAGGGATCCCTTCCACTATTGGTGTGGTTGTTAGCTCACAACTTGTTGGAAAGAAAAGAGACTTAAGGCAAGACTAAGACATGACTTACGTGGTCGTGGAAGTAGACGTTGGAGACCGTGATCCAGTCAGCCCCATGGGAGATGTCGAGGAGACCGTCGAGGTCATCCTTGCCTCCGCTCAGATCACCAGAAAGGTCGCAGTGGTCAACCCAGACGTTGGTGGACTCATCAATGCCAATAGCATCGCCATTGCTAGCCTTAACGCCGCCGATCTTCAGGTTACGGATAATGACGTTCTTGACCTGGCGGACGTACAGACCAACGTTGGTGAGGGCTGCGAAGATATTGACATCAGTACAACAGCGCGTAAGAGGCCGTGTTTTCAGCGGCAAGGACACTTACAGCTGCCCTTCTCTCCGATAATGGTCTTGTCTGAAGAGACGCGGACCTTGGCGCTGCCGGAAATGGCACCGGAGATGACGATAGTAAGGGGACCCTCCTTCTTAGCGGCAGCAACGAGCTCATCGACAGTCTTGACGGTGACACTAGAGCCTCCAGCACCGCCGGTAGTACCTCCGCCTTGGGTGCAGTAGCCGATGTTGCAAGCCTCGGCGGCCTGGCGGAGAGCAAGCTCGTTGCGGGCGATGACGATGTTGGCAGGCGAAGCCGCGGCCAGAGCAGCCATGAAGGTGACAGCGGAAAACTTCATGTTGATAATTTCGGAGAGGTAGGCTGCTTAAGGAATCGGTTCGGATGAAATAAGAGATGGATAAAGCGGGTGACTAGCACTACCGAAGTTGATGGAATGAGATGAACAGGGAAAAGAATGAAAGACTTAAAGGCACGATGGAGAGAAAGAGGAACTGGTGGTCCAACCTGTCGATAGCGGAGTCTTATATATAACATAGAACCTCCAAATCCCGCCTTCTTGTTTAAAGCGAAGGAAGATGGTGCCGTTGATGGTTGTGGGAACTTGCAAGGAGGCTGGTCTACGACTCTATGTTGACAACTGCATTCCTGGGCGTTTCCAACTAAGCGCATCCCTTGATCTCATCGAAACCCTTGTTTATTTCGCCATCTGTGCATTCCAGGATGATTCGACAGACATGCCAAGGTATCGGAGAGACTGGACGAAAAATCCGTCGACAAAGACGCCTTGGACGACGGATACAGCGAGAGGTGATTGGCCTCTAGCGAGGTCGTTACATCGAGATGAACAGCGCGAGTAAGGAAGACTCATGTCTTGGCCCGTCCCATAGCGACCAGGGTACCAGAACCAGACGGCTGGGCACAACTTCACTTCCTAACAGAACGTGAGAGAATGATTCCTGAGTGGCATTGCCCGACCTCTGGTATGGCCAGGTGCGCTTGGGGAGTGCAGGGGTTGCGAATAGGCTCATTCGGCTGTTGCTGGCAGGGCCTAGCTGAACCCACCGAGGGCAGAAGACAGAACCAATGCCGCCCCAGCTGGGCAGCCATCCGCAGTAACGCTGAAGGTGTGACCCTGCGCTAGAGTTGTACGGCTGCTATGTTTCGGATCAGCAGGGTGGGTGAGTGGCTTTTGCGCGCGGCACCCCAGAGATAGATGAACGCCAAGATACTGTCTAAATGAACGAGGACTGGTCGTTGGAGGAATAACTCAACGCAGAGCGTCGTCGTGCGCACAGCGGATGGCGTCGCCTATCTGAGCAGATGCACTGCTGATCTGATGGGGGGGCATTGTCATGATGAGTGTGTGGGGATGACCCCTGGCTTGGTTGCTCACAATGAGTTGCCAACGAGTTGGTGACCGGCTCCCACCTCTTTACACTTTTCACCTCACGTTAAAAGCCCATCTTACGGCGAATTCTCAACTATAGAGCAACACAGATGCGAAACGAAACTCCTACAGCTTACTTCCTTGTAACTTTCCGGCACTTTGCGATCACCTAGCAGCGAACTCTATAACTTTAAGACAGTATGCCCGTCATAGTCAGAGAAGTGAGAGGAGCGGTCACTGACCTGTGCATCTACCCGCAACCTTGGCATGTTGCACTATTGAAAAGGGGGATTAGCTGCCAAGACTGCGAATATTGGCATTCTGCGCTGCCAAACTCTGCTTTCCAATCATCGTGTGGTTCAACTGCCCACTCCACCATTTTCTCACTTCTTACCAAGCACGAGATCAAAAGACAATGACGGCCTTAAGTTGCCCGTTCAGGACGGGCGGATTCCGTGGCCTCCTCCTCGCCTCTCACGAGTCACCACCGTCCTCGATCCAACTGAGCCGATGGCGCCAAGACGTTTATATCGACTCGGACCTTGGCATTCTACAACGCAGGAGATTGGGACCTGAACGTCAAACAGCTCGTATTCGATCAGCAGAAATCCACAATCAAGGGGGAAATGCCTGGCTCTCTAGACAAAGGATAGAGCAAGATCTGCCAAAACGAGGACTGAACAGGTAGCTATGTCTAGACAACTGTACCCCGGGAGAAGAATCGTGCCAACGGTTACAGCTCGAAGTCGTTTGCGATGTCTGACCAGACTCAGCAAATCAGCCCTCGCTGCAAGCTTTCACCAACTCCAGAGTATCATGCATGGCTATGGTGCCAACTAATGCTGAAAAGATCAGCATTTGCAGTGACGCCAGTTCATGCTAGGACATCTCAACCTAGCGACGGCAACCTGAATCCTTTCTGATATCGACCGGCGGTTGAATCTTGCAGAACTCTTCAGATCGCCTGGGTTATGTGGCGATCTTCGCGGCCGACTGATTTTGCACGAATGAAACTGTTTCCACCGTCTCCGAACGGCCATACGGAAAAGCCACCGAGATGTCTTGAAGAAGAAGGTGGGTTAATCAAAGCCAACATTGCATCCGTCTTAAAATTCCACTCCATTGTAAGCGACTCCCAGCTAGCCTTAACTTGCTGCATTGACTCGATTCAGGAACAGTATCCACGTTGCTCGAGGGAGGAAGGATGACCTCGGACGAAGAGTCAAGAACACTAATAGCGACAGCACTAGCTATTCCCATGGTCTTGATCTGCATCTCGAGAGACATCAGATGATCATCATGAACGAAATCGGCACTTGGCCCAACCACATAGTGCTATGAGTCTCGAGTCATTTGCTGGTTTGCTAACAGGTTGAGCAATTCTCGCCGCGCGGACCGACCAGCATTCAGTGTGCTAGCCACGCCTTTGAGTTCTTACAACCTGGAAGCACGATAGATCTCGGATTCTTGCAATTTCATCTACAGTTGAGGTGGTTCCTGTTACTCAATGCCTGCACATTGCTATCTTCGAGGACCTCGCTAACAACTCGTCGCTTAAGATACTTGCAGAGGTATTGTCTCGAACTCGAACATCCACCGGTTTCCAATTGACTAACGACCCAAGTCCTCCCTCCACCTCGACCCTAGGCAGCCGGCCTGATCTGAGAATGGTTTGAAGCTATAGCCCGAGTTCTTCGCAATCATCTACATTGGCAGCAGGAACTTGGGTAGCTAAATAGGAACGAAGTCATCCTATGCTGGCTGTTAGTCTGCTCTATTGTCTGGGGTTGCGGAACAGACAGGCCCGCACCTGATGCTTTCTCCTTCATTCTTCTCTCGTAAAGGTTCATGCTCTGGTTGTCAACAACCTATTGTCTTTCAGTACCCTTGCCCCTTTCTGCCAATTTTGCACTCAATGACTTCGAAACCCCCGTTTGAAGAAAGAACGGGCATGGAAGTGTCTACGATCTGGATATCTGGTCATAAGGAACTGAGAAACACAGGACTGGAGCAAAGGTTTCAGTGTCTGAGAGTGCGTCCTCCGGTACCTCTGGTATTCAAGTCTTCCACTCTTTTCGCTCACGTTGATGGCAGCAGATATTCCACAAGTATATCATTCTGTATACCGTCAAGCGGGGTATTAGTCGGCCCAGGCGGCCGACCTAAGCCTTATCCTAGGAGCCCCAACCTGGACGTCGCTGGCGACCTAGCGTATCGCAAGATTGAAAGTCCAGGCTTTATCGCCGCCAGTAGGTGTTTTGTCTTGCTGACACAGCTATTGGGAAAGGCTTCCTTCACCGAGAATCCATGCTCAAACTTCAGTGTCAAGGCTAGGCAGCATGCCGTCGTAATGCAATGTCCTTCTGACGTAATAAACCTGGAATCTTGAAGCGCCGGGAGCAAACGCAAGAGCATTCCCTTTTAATTTCTCTTCGTTCCCGTCGGTACCATAAATGATCGTAACTTAAGGTTATCATGGCTTCTAGCGTCGGTGATGGCTGTAGATAACGTAGGGAGCGGACGACATAAAATGCGGGGTCGGTCCGGCGCCGGTCACGGGTCTCACGGCTTGAATCGGCTGACCCCTGCTTCCCCTCACATCGCCGGCGGCATATCATGACGAAAGAAAGATAAGAATGCTGTTGTTATATCACCCTTATTGCCTGCACAGCGCTCCTACATCTCGACATACCTCCCAAGTTTCTCTATCTTTGATTTGAGAGAGTAAGGCTGGAGAACCGTCCTCACTCTTAAATCTCATTGCTCTCAACCAAGCATGTCTGACATCAAGAAATATCAGCTTGGAGACTTCCATCTTCAAGGCGGTGGCTCGTTGCCCAGAGCATGGATCGCATATAAGACATTTGGCGACCCATCCCTTCCAGCAGTTGTCTATCCCACCTGGTACTCCGGCGCTATCGCGGACAACGAATGGCTAGTAGGAGACGACAAAACCTTGAATCCGTCAGACTATTTCATCGTCATTCCGGCCCTGTTCGGTAACGGACAGTCCATCAGCCCCTCCAACTCGGACATCAATCCATTTCCCGACGTGACTTTCTTCGATAATGTGAAGGCACAATACGAATTGGTCACCAAGGAGCTCAAGATCACCCATCTCAGAGCCGTGCTGGGATGGTCTATGGGCGCGGCTCAATCCTTTCAATGGGCGACACAATATCCCAACTTTTTGGACATTGCAGTCCCATTTTGTGGCGCCGCGAAGTGCGCCCTGCACAATCAAGTCTTCCTGGAGGGGGTCAAGTCGGCGCTTCTCGCAGCAAAGAAGACAAGCTCAGCCGGCAGTACACTAGGACGCATTGCATCAACTGAGGACAAGTCTGTGCAGGTCTGGTCAGACGAGGAGAAGCAAGTTGGTCTGAAAGCTTTTGGCCGTGGGTACGCCGGATGGGGCTTTTCCCAGGCATTCTATCGACATGAGCTGCACAAGAAGTTTTACGGAGCCAAGGATCTCGAGGACTTCATGCAAACGTTTTGGGAGAAGTGGGCTCTGAGCAAGGACCCGGAGAACTTGCTTGTCATGATTCACACGTGGCAAAGTGCCGATGTGAGCAACCAAGAGCCATACAATGGCGATTTCAAGAAGGCCATGGCGAGCATCAAGGCCAAGACTTTGGTGCTGCCCTCAAAGACCGACCTCTACTTCCCGTAAGAATCTCCTCCAACACACCGCCAAAACCAATACTAACAGCTACAGGCCCGAGGACTCTGAGTATGAGGTCGAGTGTATGAGCGAAGGTGTCGGTGAATTGGCTGTCTACCCCTCCATTTGGGGCCATTGGGCTGGAGGACCCCCGGGAAACTTTGAGGATGTCAAGTGGCTAGACGACAAGTTGAAGAACATCTTTGCTACAGCGCCAAAAAGGGGGTAGAGAATGTAAGAGTTGAGTACGCAACGTGCAAGGCATTGCGTCATGAGCAGAATGTTTGTTTCGCTAATAACGATACTTTTCTTGGCGCACTTTGGGAGGAAAGAAGACATCGACCTTTGCCTAAATATTGTGGATTTATGCCAGTCTAACGACCTATTCGCTTTGAGACGCAAGGGACAGACATATGCAATTCTAAGCACCAAGAGGACTTTGAAAGATAGTAGCTTTCAATGATCTATACACAGTGGACATTCCTATCGTCGTCCCCTCACTTTCGTAAGGCTGGCTGAACAGTTATGCCCTCAAACTTCTGCCGAATCTCTGTGGTTACGCCAGACATATCGCAGAGGTCTTTGTCATGCAACAAGTCCGAGCGGGGTACCCAGCTTCCATGTATCCCATTGCGCAGCCGAAAAGGTAGTTCAATGATTGCTACGGGGCCTGATTCAAGATCCTTGGCGTCGAGAATCAAAATGCAGGACAGTCTGACGTCTCGTCTGTTCGCAATGGTCACAAGGAAGCCGTCTCCTTCCGCAGCTATGGAAAACATTAGTAACCCCATTACCCGCACGATTCCTATCGATTTATGAAAGACTTACCGTCTGGGGACCTTGGCAAGAACGCTACCTCATGCAGAGAAGTATGTTCTCCGGCAGACCAGTGAGTATACTTCCCGGTGTTGATGTCTGCAGCTGCTATGGTGTTGTAGGTTCCACCTACAGGGCTGTACTTGGCCTTTGGATCGTGAACGCATAGGAACAGTTTGCTGTACGCTTTGGTAGCGAATCTTTCATCAACCTTGGGCATTTCACCATCGAGGGCGACTAGCTCCGTCGGCTCAACTTGGAAGTTTGTTGCGTTGGGATCGAGCTTCCAGCGCACGTAGCTACTAGCAGGTTGTCCTACCACTGCTTTACCGCTTGGGTGAGAGAATGGGTCTTCGCCTCGCGGGCCAAAGAACCAAAACTAGTGCACGAGTTAGAGAATGCCTTTAGGAAATAGTCCTGCAGAATACGCACCTTGTTATGATGGGTAAGGGGCGCGTCGAGGTAAACACATCTGTCTTCACCTTCGAACGCGTTTCCAGTGTGACCGTAGAAGGCGTTCTTAAAGTTGAACCAACGAACGTCTTGAGGTTTAGGGTTTCGCCGCGGCAGAAGACCAAAAGTCAGGGGCTTGTCCTCAGCCCAGGCGAAATGCTTCGATCCTTGCTGCAGTATTTCAACTGGCTGTGTCTCAAGTGGGATGAGTACGAAAACGATCCAGTTCTCAGTCGCTGCCATATCGTGCATCATTCCAACGTAAGGCGTCTTGATCCAACATTCTTCAAGCTTCTTCCCATTCTTATCAAAAAGATAGTATGCAACGTCATTTGTCGCATCACCTTTGGCTTCGTAGCCCATTGTTATCAGCTCTCCGTTGTCAGGATCAATTTTTGGATGCGCTGTGAAAGTTGGAGCCGAGTACTGCCCATGAAAGTCGTACAGTCCTTCAAATTTGAATTAGCTGTACGTAGTGAACACGCATGCAGCAACCAGCTGGGCGACGAAAACCTACCTCTAGTCTCCAGCGAGTCCGGATCCATTGCATACGGCCTGGAGTCTTCCTTCAAGGCTAGCAGCTGATGTTCGAAATACACAATATGCGTATTTGCAGTCGAGTGAACCTCATGCTTCACTCTCGGGTCATCTGTGTAGCGATTTCGGTACTTGCCAAAGACTGACTGCCTCGCTACCCTCTCTATGTTGAACTTGGCAGTGCGCACATACTTCTGCTTGAAGTCGGCGTGACCATTCCTAATCCGAACTGCATCTATGGCGCCATCCCCGTTGATGAAGACATCGTCTTCGTAAAGAGGGGCCCAAGACCAGTCAGGCATGCAACGGTAGTATGTTCCGTCTATCTCTTGTGGGATTGAACCGCGGACAATACAATTGTAGACTTCCGCTTCGAAACGGCAAGGTGCTTCTGGCCCATCAAAGAATGGCGTTGGAGGGAAGTTCGTCTCCTGCTGTGCCTTGAGAGATCTCGAACGCTCGGAAAGGTCAGGCATTTTGCTATCTTGATTTGTTGAGACCTTGGGGGTGCCCATGGGATTCGTCCGTCTTTTGATGAATAGTTATACTACCGAGCGACTTATTCGGGAAGCCCGGCATTATCTCAATAAACGTCTTCGGTTTCACTACACTACTTCTGGTAACCGAGACCGACTACGGGTAGTTGCAATCGAAACGCCATGATCGTCATTGAAAAGTGCAGTAATCGATCCCCAGGCTTTTCCTCCTTGACGCTTCAAACTCTGTATCATCTGCCGGACAGTGACGCTGTCACACTTTCCAACGGTGACCGCTATGCGGAGATGGCGGGGGCGGAGACCGAGACGGGATTGAACTGCCGGTCGACCAGGGAAGCTAGATCAAGTACAAAGGTTCAGTGATTGGTGGCCTAGGACGGAGACCGACCTCAAGGTTTCGGCTCTGGCCGTGCGTTCATTCGGTATGCTGACCGGGTAGAACGGAGGACCGTATATATCGAGTGTATTGACCTGGATACAAGGTGGTCATTGATAAAGTAAGAACTTAACAACTACAGCAAACTCTAGTCCCGAGCTCGTAAGGTCGCTATCCTTGAACTATCATTTGTAGACACACTACCAAGTCCCAGTCAATACCAAAAATCCAACCAAAAGTGGTCATGACTTCCAGCAAGGACTACGTGTTCAAGCAGGTTGGCAATACGTTGATCGAGGCAACGGCTTACTGGAAGCCTACAAAGAGTAGGGAGCCAAAGGGGCTTGGTAAGTTTTGAGTCGATCGTGTCGACTAACTTGTGACTGAATGTTCCCAGCTCTGGCTCTTCATGGAGGAGGTTTCGTGATAGGATCCAGGCATGCGTTGCCAGAGGTTGAAGTCGAGTATCTTGCCGACGCAAACTTCGTTGTTGTATCAGCCGACTATCGACTTTGCCCACAAGTTGCATTACACGATGCAATCGAAGACGTTATTGACGTTTTCTCTTGGTGCAAGACGGAGCTTCCGGAAAAGTTCGAAGCGGACACTGGCTTTGGGATTGACGCACGAAAGGCTGTGGTTTTCGGGCAATCTGCTGGAGGACTCTTAGCTCTACACTTGGTGAGTTACCAATGCTTCCGGTCCCAGTTTAATACCCAAAACTCAACATCTCGTGAATAGGGTGCTCTGGCGGAACCTCCCCGGGCGATTCTTGACTTTTATGGCGTCAAGTACGTCAGTGATGAATTCTGGCACAAGCCTTTGCCTGCTTTAGCTGCCATTCCGACACTGCCACAGGCTTTAACCGACAAAATCTTTGAGGAACCGGTCATGACGACCACTGTCACATCTCTAGAAAAGGCAGCTGCGTCTCAAGACGGGGAGAGAAAAAGGGGCATGCCAGCACCTGATCTATCGCTTCCCAGAAACGCCTGGCTATTCACGGCATTGAAGAACGGGACGCAGATGAAGTCCATTGTCAAAGACGATGACTTCGACCGCGTCGACCCTGTTAAAGTATTCCACCCAAAATTTCCTCCAACCTTTTTTATTCATGGGGATAAGGATGGCTTGATTCCCCATGCCTTCAGCGAAAGGGCTTGTAGGGAGCTGAGCGGGATGGAAGTGAAGGCGCGTATCTCTTTAATTCCAGGCCAATCCCATGGTTTCGATGCCGGCTTAAGAGTGGATGACCCGGAATGGCCGCAGGTACGCGATGCGCTGGACTTTCTTATCTTCTATGGAAATAAAGCCATCTGAGATGCCCGTATCCTGCTAGAGATTGAAATCGAAATTAGACTCAGAGAACCCTAGCTGCTCCCACAAGTCCAAATTGGGTAGTCCTGTTTCGAAAGAGATGATACTGCTGTCAAATGTTGTGGTTTCCGGTCTTGAAGAAGTTAAAAAGTCTGCTGGTTGAGAAGTCAAGCTATAGAACTCACTGCTGGTGTTCAATGTCTTCGAGCACTTTGTCAAAACACTGGACGGCAAAAGCGTGCAATCTATCAGGAAACATTCGAAGAAGACTCCTCAACTTGATCACCAGATCTCGCAAATCGACAGACGTTGGGTTCTTGATGATTCTGATGAGAAGCACCAGTCCGCAGGTCACTGCATGGTACGAATCAAACCAGAAGTGGTTGGTAAGAACATCCCTTTCTTGCATCTCGATCAGCGTTGCAATAGTCTTGTTGTTGCTCTCTTCGCAGATGTTCATTCGATTGTCGGCTTCAGACCCTGAGAAAGTAGCATTGAACAGGTACGATTGAGTCAATAAGACGATGATGCAATGATATCTCAACCGTAAGTACAGCGTGGCGCGCAACAATGATGGGGGGATTGCTGCTGCAGGTATGGTCAGGTGCTGAGGCAGGCTCTCCCACCACCCATAAAGGTCTTGAATCAACCGATCGATATCATTGCCATTATCGTGGTGTTTCTCGGAGTTGCACTGAAGGGTACGAGACAGAAGCCGTGTAAGGCGTGCCGAGGCGAAGGCATACATAGGCGGCATGTTTGGGGCTCCGATGAGGTTCTATGACGTGATGTTAGTTGAGGATTACATTGCAATGACTTGAGCTGGATTACATCTGAAGGCGAACTAATAGTACTGAGATCAACGGTGATTCCTAATGATCTCCCCAGAACGCTAGTGAACCACTGGTCCAAGTCGCATAATGACCACCAAAGCTTAGTTTTCTGTTCCGCCCACAGGGGACTTTCGTCGTCAGTTGTTACGTGCAACCCAAGTGACTGGGCAATTCTGATGGCGCTGCCGAGAACGACCCAAGAAGTGTTCCGCTGGTTTTTCTTCAGCCGGTACAAGGCCTAAGCTCAGTGAGCTGCATTAGCTGAGTTCTTGATCGGTGAAGTAGAGGAGAACAGTATTATGACTGACCATAACAATAATCGCCTGGATGCTCTCGACACTCCCCTCCTCGATGACACTCTCCATCTTCTTTGAGGCAAGCTCAAAATGGTGTGGGTCGTCGTCAATGAGAGCAACGATGAGCTGAATCATGGCTTGAGTCGACACGCTCACTTCTGCGTTTCCGTGGGCTCTCACTATTGCATCGAAAAGCTTCTCTGGGCCGAGGACGTAAAATACACAGTTGACGAAGCGAAGAAAGACAACGCTGCATCTTTCGCATGTCTTCCTGTCAGGAAGTGCTGCATCCTGTTTATTCGACAGCGGTTCGCCTTCACGCAAATCAAATGTGCCACTGGGTTGCAGCGCCGCGAGCCGAGGGAAGCTTCGTGTGATGCATAGGCTGACTTTGGACTGAAGGACCGCGTAGCTTGAGGCACCGTTGAATCCTAGGGGCGATGAGTAAATGCAAGGTTCTCATTAGACCGAATCGCCAATTTACTCACTTCGCTGGCGTGTTGCATCTGAGATGAACGAGCCCTCTGACATTGGTGACGCCGAGTCCTTAGCAGTGACACCCGGTAGTAAGTGCCCGCCATCGACCGGCGAGCATGACGAAGTATCCGCAGGTGGGACTTGCTGTGCAAGTTCCGTGGCAAAGTCAGGCTGTTGGGGTGCCGCCTGGAGTTTGCTGACAAAAGTGCGCAGGCCTTCAACGCTTAATGGGATACCAGGGGCGTAGTGCTGGACAATGGCGGCCATCAGTTCGAACTGCTCCTTCGAAGTGTGATAGTAAGGACGGATGCTGGCTTCATCAGTGACAACACAATCTAATCCGAGGCGCTCACACCGGTGACAGGATCTAGACGTCGGTTTGTCGCACTCTTATAGTCAGTACGAGACTCACTGCAGTCATTGATGTAGCTCCAATGCTTACTTTGATCTTTCGCCGTCTGCAATTGACGCAGCTGGAGGGCAGCCGACCGGCTCGACGCGTTGTTGTGCTCATGCTGGCAATGACGGAATCGCTTTAAATAGAGGCACGTCTGCGATTGAGATGATTCCGATTGCCCAGCGAGTGAGCCATCATCACCAGACCACGGTATCACATAGAACACAAAGGGCAGGCCAGGAGCCTTGGAGCCATGAGCATGATCATACTCAGAGGCAACACTTGAATGCCGCGGGGATCTGTGCTAGCCTGTGGTCCCGGCGTTGTAACCGTAATAGCAAGGACCATTTTGAGTGCTGTTAGGCACGAAACATTGGAATTTGCCGGCTAGATCAGACTTCCTTCAACTCAAGGACGATATAGCTCATTATTGATGCATAAGCTTCTCGCTCTCTATGAATCGTGTTGAAAAGCGTCATGATCTCGAAGCATCCGGGGTGATAGGGCAGCGGCATGGCGACGGAAGGCAGACAATAGGGTACAAACAGAACGTATGGGGAAGAGACCCACAGCGGCCACCGCTCTCCGTCCCATGCCGCATTCTTTGAGTTCGGCAGTCGAGAGCGGTCTCCGCGCTGGACACACCCACCGGTGACCGCGGATCCGCGATCCTTGTACACAGGCGCTATCGGCGATCTGGGGAGTACGCAGTCCTGTCTGCGAGGATATGAGAGACAAGTAACGAGAAATGATAAATCACAGTAGTACGGAGAAGAGAACATGTTGCCTCTTTATTGCCACGACTCGAATCGTTGCGAGGATTCAACAAACCAGGGAACACGATTCCAAATGAGCCATGGAGACTCAGAATGCGACCGTTAATTGGCACGGTTCCAGTATCCAAGTCGCTGCCATCATCTCTGCAATCTTATGTTTGGTATGTGAACTTGCATCAAAATGCCTCCTGACATTGGACTCAAGGCTGACTGTTGCAGCTGGCGATTCCTCTCATTTACAATGTGATCTTCCATCCTCTGGCCCGAGTCCCGGGGCCTTTTTTGGCCAAGTTCAACGACTTCTGGCACGCATACCAACTATACACAAATATGAGACATGAGACGCTCTGTAAACTCCATGATAAATACGGTAATCACCACAATCTGCTGCTCTCAATGGTAGTGTCTAACATAGATGGTTAGGTCCTTTGGTGCGCTTGGGCCCGAGTACTGTCTCTGTGAACACCACGGAAGGATTCCAAAAGGTTTACTCGGCGACATCACCAATCGACAAGTCGCCATTCTATCAGAGCTTCACCCCAGGTTTCCAAAGTAGCTTTTCTTCGATGGGTTCTGCGTACAAAGAGAAGAAGTCCATCCTCTCTCAAGCATTCGCTCAGAAGAAGCTAGACGCCATGGAAACAGCATTCATGGGGCACATTTGGAAACTTTGCGAGGTGATGAAAGGTCAGCCTAAGGTCAACTTGGATGATTATTTATCAGCCTTGACAGTTGACATCTTATCGGACGTTTGTTTTGGAGAAACGTTCGATTTACTTCGCAATCCCACAGAGAAGGCGAAAATCAGCGATGGCTTAGTGCAAGCAGCAAAATTTGTCTCATTGGTACCAATAAACGCCTTCGATTGTTGCATACTTCAGGCGATTTGACTAAGAGAGTTTTAGGAAGGTACACTCTGGAGATGGCCTTTGTTGCAGCGCCTGATTCGAAAGTTCTCGTACAGCCATACGACTCGGGGCTATCCAGCGAAGGTGAGTCTGCCTTCTGTCTCAAGCAGCATCGTCAACTGAAATGCCTAGATGGCGATTGGCGCCATGATCAAACAGAGGCAGAATCCTTCAGGCAGGCAAGACATATTCAATTACCTGCTTACGGCTAAAAGTCCCACCACCGGCGCGCCGTTTCCTGATCGCGAGCTGTTCGGTGAAGCGATCGTCATGTTTGTAGCAGGATCTGATACCACATCTACTGCGCTTTTGACAATATTGTGGCATCTGTTGGCTCATAAAGATGCATACGACAAGGTGGCCTTTGAGGTCAGATCTACAGTCACGACGCGTGATGAGTTGAACTACCACAAGATTCAGCATCTGCCATATCTAAGAGCTGTGATCGAAGAAGGATTAAGAATCTTCCCACCGAATGCAGGTTTCATTCCGAGACAGGTGCTCCAATCCGATGGAGCCTTTGTTCTCCACGGCATACCTCTGCCAGTGGGAGTAAGTCGATATTATCGTCTACCTCAACCTCAAGAGCACGAACACTGATATCATCCCTTCTCAGACGGAAGTCGGCGTTGCAAACATGGCGATGCATAGGAACCCCAAGTATTTTGAACGACCCAACGACTTCATTCCAGAACGCTGGATCGGCGATGGCCAGTCTGCAGTCAAGGATAAATCAGCTTTCTCTCCCTTTTCCAAGGGCCCGAGGGCGTGCCTCGGTAGAACGTAAGGGGTCCCGTTTTAGCTTTTAACAAACCATTGCTAAACTTCATTCCAGAATGGCCTACATGGAGATGTCTTTAGCTTTGGCAGCAATGCTTTTGGAGATGGACATGGAACTTGAGGATCCCGGTTCTGAGGCAAGACAGGGTTACACAGCGACGGATTCTTTCGTTCTCGTGCGACCAAAAGTTAGGATCGTTGTAAAATCTCGCCGCTGAGAGGACGCAGTCAATCCGGAGGGCATTCGAGTCTCTTCTCTGGTGGGAAGCAGCCCCTCTGTTGCGACCTCAGCAAAGCGGCAGGGGCTGCAGAAGCCGCTACTGGAAGAAGGCACAGGCCATGAGACATGTTCACAAGAATATGCCGCAGGGACCGATCGGGTTCGAGATCTTGGTTGCAAAGACGGGAGCAATTTAGGCTAAAGGAGTTGGTCTCGTTCACCCCTGCTAATCTGATCACGGGAATCGGCTAGGACCAGGATGCTCTCAAAAAGCGATGATCGACATTCTTGATGAACCAAGTTACCATGCATGAGAGTCTTGAATACTTTAGTCACTAAGGATAGCGATGAAGAGAACAATAGGACGATGTAGAATAGAATGGCCTTCTGATAGTAATTATAAGAATATCTTGCCAAGAGCCCACGCCAGTGTCCCACATCAGCCGCCCATGTTGAATAGTAAAGAAAATGGTATCTAGTAAGTAAAGAGTGATATCTCCAACGCCAACTTAATCTCTGGGCTTAATAGGCCGTCTCTGAATGGTTCAAAGTTTCTTCGTATCAATACAGCCCTATCTGTAGAGGGACTGACTCATGAGAAACCCCTTGTCTCAACTTTCTGGGAAGAGACCTGCACAATATCGCACTTAACCTCGATCGGCGCTCCTGGCTGCAGCTCGATCTCGTCATCAGAGACTCTCCTTCCCGCTTCGATTCTTGTTTCGACGATGGCGTGGTGGTTTGGTCTATATCCGCCCAATTCGATAGACTCCTGCTGCCGTAATGGAGACGGCATCTTATCGATCTGACTGGTGAAATCCGGGCTATCTCTCGAGGCTTGGATGGGGAGCCCTGTCTCGCGGCTCGCATCAGAATGGCTCAAATCGTAGCTGGCGATGCCATACAGATCAGCCTTGCTGTCCGCCGAGCCAGTCCGTCGTTTCGAGTAGCGGGCAGAGTAGTGGTTCGGGTTGCCAAGTGCACCACCAAGCTCGGGATCGCGGTGGCGTGAGGTACTTTCGGTGTTTTCAGAATAGTCTCCGTTCTTGTGGTATTTCGAGGATTTCGCAATACGGCTCGACAGGGCGGGAATGAATCGAGAGACCAAGGGTCGGAACGTCGGTAGGCAAGCGCAGACGAGTCCACAGCAGAGTTCGCCGATGGACCAGCCGGCGGTCTCGACATTCTGCCAAGTAAAGTCTTCTTCGAGCTTGAGGAATCGGATCCGGATGAAGGATATGGTACATGTGCTATGAAAAGATTAGTCGGAGCCCGGAATGGTCAAGTAATCGTGGGACAAGACATACAAAAAGCCCAGACAGAAGATTCCAAGCAAGACATATTTCTGGCCTCGGGCTAGATTCAGTCGGTGAATAACTGGCAGCGGCAGCACGAATACAATGATGTCGGTGATGATGTTGCCTGCTGCGTTGATGTACCACTGGGGGTAGTTCGGGATGCATTTGCCATCAATAGTCTTATCCCAGAATGCTGGAATAGGGGTACAGATAAAGATCTCGACAAGGATCTGCGAAATGCTCCATGCGCCGACTATTACCATCGCCGCAATGAAGACCTTCTTCATCTTTTGGACGGCCAGGACCCGGTAGTATTGGAAAAGGAAGGTCATCTTGATACCAGCCAATGCTGCATTGTAGAATACAATGGTGACGTAGAATGTCTTGGGAGCGTTAATAGGTGTGCGAAGTGAATCGTATCAGACATCAACTGACCCTCATGTAGTCTTGAATTTGTTCCGATGTAAGAAAGTAAACATGATGACCGAGGCCATTTCTGGTGTCTTCAGGCTGTTAGATACCATCGAATGTAGTGTCTATATATGACTTACTCAGTGCGACAGCCAAGCCGCAACCAAGGACCAACAGCTACAGAATAGTAGTCAGAATCAGGTAGAAGGGATGAAGAGGACTTTCCAAAACCTACAAAAGCAAAAACGGATGCCCAATCATCCATACCAAATTGCCGTATCACGAATATTCTGGTGTACACTCGTATTGATACAGCCAAGAAGGCAACTGAAAGCACAAAGCTCGTGACGCCAACGACGATTGGTACCCGCGAATCGTCCGGGCTCATTCCTGGAGGGACCTCCATGCTGCCTGTGAACTCTCCCTGAAAAATGTTGACGGCTATGCTTGGTTGGTAGTGGAATTAAGAAGCATCGAGAGTCCACGAGGACTGGCACGTGGCAATGTGCTTTTTCGTTCCCTTCAACGGCGGCTGATGATGGGGATAGGTGTGGGACGTCGGACGACGAAAAGCATGGAAATCTAAACGCCGAGGGATGCTGTCTTTGTATATTGACGAAAGCTTGGCTATGCCAGCCTTGACTGGTCTTAGATCGAAGGGGCACCTATGCGCGGGTGTGGCTCGAGAAAGGGGCAGAACATAGAGAGGGTGTGAGACATCGACGAGGAGGAGCTGCCCGCAAAGACTGCTACACTAGCACGCCTCGCACGCTCGAGGGACCCTCAGGATTTCGATATTCCGTGTCTCATATGGCTTAGACGTGGAGACCACTGTGGGATCGACGAATCTATTTCCAAGGATACTGTCGATTACCTTTGGGCAGAAAGAACGCAATGCAGGAGCCGTGCGCGCGGTAGACTGCTCGGAAGACAGGAAGACAGCTGGGCGGAACTAGCACAACGGTCGTGGCTTCTTCTCTGATGACACCCTTTGTGCAGTTTTTGTACACTTGCATGACGACCTAACGAATTGGCAAATGGGGAGTGACACCTTGTTTACTAGCGGAAAAGCCGTAGCGTGTAAGCTATGCCGGGACGGCTCCGCGTGTCGTTATGAAGGTTTAGACGAACTAACGGGCCCTTCGATTCGTCATGTTAAACTACACCCGGAAGGTGGGAAAAAGGAGAGGAGGGTGGCAGGCAGTGGACAGTCTGCGGTGTTGGAGGTCTGCCAGCCTAGGGACGCAACGTTATTCTCGACGCGCAGATGACGGCAATCTCCCGGCTTTGCTGGCACGCTGGCGCGCTGACGGCGCATGGATTTGGCGGCACTGCATTCCTCTTGTCGCGGGCCAGGGCGGCAGGCATTCTGGGATTTCTGCCATTTTGGAGATGCCGCGATTCAGCTGCCATCGATAGAGAGACCTGCAATGTCTCAGACCACCTCCTGGCATGTGCAAATATGGAGCTGGGAACTTGGGAGTTGGCCCCGAGTTGGAGTCGATGTCTGTGTGTCCAAGAGATAGCCCAATGATGATCGGCTGGACAGGGTGATAGGCTCGAACCCCGGGGATCCAAAGTCGTATACCGTCCCTGCTAGCCCGGGAGAGGGACCGGGGTAACTCCTGTCCGCTTCTCGGTGAAAGAGGAGACTATCGCGGGGATTTATGTCGCCAGGGTCGCGGCTGACTCGCATTTGCGAGGTAGTGGTGGTTATTGGCGCAATTGCCAGGCATCGGCGATCGCTGCTGACGGGCAGGAAAAAGAAATTGGGCATCAAATAGACTGCGAAGCCTTCTGCCGGGCCGAAGACAGATATTGAATAAAGCCATGGACGAATGACCTTGACTAAACCATCTGTTCATCTGATCGGCAGACTGACTTTGGCTTCCAGAATCGGGTGAAACAGAGACAGTTCAAAGATACCTTTTCGTAAGACCAGCCAGATCATAGATGGCTACTTTACCCTTTTGCGTGACAGTGTGCCGACAGCGACTCGGCTAGAGAAATCACCTGGGAAGATAATGATTATGGCCGTATCTCTTTCCAGCAACTTTCTCGCTCTCGCACGAAAGAGGTAGTATTTCAGCACCTTGGGCGTCTCAGCCGCGCTCTCACCGGTGCCGACTACTCACTACGGAGTATGGGAGGGCAGATTCGTTATTGCAACTCAACCGAGCAAATTCGGCGACGGCGGCCGAGCCGGTGAAGGGAGACCCACCTAAGTTCCTTGTTCTTCGCTCTCGTCGTCGAATCCAGCCTTTCCAGCTTGGCGTTGAAGGACCCTGGCACGCCTGGCAAGTCTGGCAGCCTCTTCGAAGCGTGGATCTGGTAAATCATGCCACTCAATGAATCGCATTGGTCAGAACCTGGCAGGCGAGGGTCTGAGCGTAACCACGCCGTCGGAGGGACGAGCCGGGGGGGAAACGGCAACGAATACTCTGCAACGCCTCTCGACTTGATTTGGACGACAGTCAATACAAAGGCCCGTTTGCTACACATTGTTTGTTCTCTTCGTACCATATTCAAGCCACAGCTGCGGCAACGAGAAATAAACTTCAGCCCATTGCCATTGGATGAGCCAGTGGCGTTCCCCGCGGAGTGAAGGATCAGCGGCTTTATTGACGGACAAGGTGGGATATGGAAAACCTGCCGAGAAGTTTGACAGGTACATCTTTCTGCACTGCAGAGCACGGTCCCGGTGTCAAGCATGTCACCCGAAGTGCAATACAGATAGACGATGGGCATGCTCAAAGAAGAAGCCTGCCGGGAGCATCAGCACGACTGTCCGGATGAATTACAGATAGGAGAGATTTCGAGAGGCACCCGAAGACCGGAACTAGCCCCGCTCATCGCAGGGACTAGGGAAAAGGGCATCACGTCAGCCCGCGGCACGGCTGATGGGTTCACCGTAAAGTGCATTGAAGCATTTGTCCCACTATTGGCACCTCAGAAATGGCCCTTTTCCCCTTCCCCGCTGCCAGTCATAACGTTGAACATCAGGTGACTTGACGGTGGGAAGGTCCGAGAGCTCATCGTCACTGCGATCCTACACGCCTATTTCACAGGAACGAGTAATATCTTCTATCGAAGCAAACAACACGACGTCGACTTCGATCTTGCAACTTTGCAAGTGGGCTTTGTCGGTGCGCAATGTCCACCAGAAAAGGTTCGTCTCGCGAGATCTACTGGCTCATGAGAGTTGAAAGGGGTCAAAGCCAAACTCCATCCGGACTTCGTTTACCATACTTTAGCGCCAAGGGTCTGCTTCCTACTTAGAACGTGTTTTTCTGGAGACACGCGGGGCAATACCTACAGGGCGTTGAAGATCGCTGCATGAGGGTGCCTGCATCCTGACGGCTCCATCAGTGCTGAAGAATAATGACAAACCGTCAAACGCGGTCCGGATCCGAACCCGGCCTTTGCGGCTCGACGGACGTTTCTCAATGATGTGAGACGTTCGAATAGGTTGCAACAGTCGTCCGACACACGCCCGGAAGCAATTTGGGTCGAGCTCCGCAAGTTCAGGCGATGTTTTGGGTGAATGAATCGCATCCTAAAATTGTGGGTGTGTTTGCTCCCTGGGACACCTTTGTCAGTTAGGGGGGCGTCTCCAGGAACCCGTGGTCCATGTGCGATGCAAGAACTGTAGCAGCTGTCGAAGGTGTCTCTGCATCATCACCTGCATATCCAACTTGGCCAGCTTGGCAGGGGAAGGACTGAATCGTTCATCTGCTCAGGAAATCCACGTGCTGCTGCGCTGCTGTGGTGCGTGGAGGACGCATGGAGAAGTTCCACCGAGTAAGGTAGAGTAAGCTTACACGAACAGGATCCAGGAACAGAATGCTTATCCTGTGGATTCATGCAGTTGCGAAACGTGCTTCCTTCGCGCGAGATGTGTTTGTGCCTTGTTTTCGTTCCTCCTCGACACCTCCACTTTGCCCCTTCAACATGATTCCAAGCGAATAGTTGCCATCGTGGTGCAACACCTACGGTAGATGGGGGGATGAAGCAGCATCGTGCTGGTTCCATCAGTCATCATTCTTGTCATGATGTGCACACCCTCGTATTGAAATGAGCGGAGACAATGAAGTTTCCGAGTCTCCGATGACTTGCACATTCGCGCCAAATCATCCAAGAGTCCAAGTGAATAATCCTGATCTCCGATGCTCCTGTGGTGCTGCTTACCATCGTTCAAATCTCAGATGCTGGGATACCCCAAAGAGCCTCGAAATGAGCCCAAGGCGGCAGTGCGTAAGGCTTCGGTAGAGCATCGGCCACCTGTAGTCATCACCGGCACTCGTCTCTTTGGGTGCCAATGCTGTATTTATCAATTCATCAATGTTCCCTTTCATCGTGCTGATCGTCGCCGCGCAAATCCCGATGACATATGAGCCGGTTGTAACGATCGGTGGTAAGCTTCACTGAGGCCCGCGCATAGAGTTCATCTTTCCGATCCGGAGTCCCGCGGGTGTATCTTCTTGGCCGATGTGACGCTCAACGGCGTGAAGAGGAGGCTCACGGACTGTACGGCCAGTCTCTGTTACTACCTGTCCGTGATAACGTTTACAGGTGACCTGCTCCGCGGACAGGCTCCGGGCAGTACGGCAACTGTGTTGTTAAACGTTCTCGCGCTTATGATAATTCAAAGAAACACGAAGGTAACACAACAATCAATGACTCGTTGATGTCCCAAGACTAGGTTAACGTCTCCAGAGAGGGGAAGCGCGGAAACACCCTCCTTTTTGAGGATACGGCAGACTCCCTGGGGATGGACAAGGAATATTCGCTTATTCCTCGCTGAATTCCACCGCGCGAGCCAGAATAGCCCGCTGAAACCCCTGGCATGTCCGCCTGGTGTGTCACTCGTCATCCATGGCGGGTCGATCTAACGGGCGCTGCGCCGGTGACAGGCCCTCTGTAGTGGGGTAGAAGGATCCGGTTCCTGGAGCATGAGGGGGACGGGGCACGGCGAAGCCATAAAGATCGGGTTGACTTGTCGAGACGGTCAAGCTGTTGTTCCTGGATGCTCATGACTTTGTTAACCAGAATCCATTAGGGTCAGGAATCTAATCTGCTATCATCGTGGAGGATCAGCATGCTTGCTAATTTACCCCCCATGATGAGCCGTCCCACGCAACTGGTAAACTTTACTTGTAGTAGTCTTCGTCAGGTGATCCCCCTCTCCAAATCTTAGGAAGACTAGGGTTGAACTGTGCAATCAACCGCAGAAATCATCGCACATTCAAGGCGGAGTACGAATATCAACACGGAACCGATTATCTCCTACAGTTTTGTATCTTTTCATCCATATACGGATAGCATGACCCCAACTCCTCTTACCCTATTGATGGGTGAGTGAAGCATGCTATGAGGGATTACGTATTCACATTACCACAGACCCGCCCAGCTCCGTCGCGACCCATTCTAGTGCAGCAAATTGCACCCGACTCCTGAATCCTGCACCATGATTTCCACAACGTTCCTCGTGAAATCAACCATTCGCAAGGCAGATCTTGTAATTCTGGCTGGCTGGCCAAATGGTAAGGCGTCGGACTCCTAATCCGAAGATTCTGGGTTCGAGTCCCAGGTTGGTCGTTCATGATGTAATTCAGGCAGCATGACCTTTTTGCTGCACAAGCTCACCTTATTCTAGACCACCATCTTGAACTATCTTTGTGCTTCTTCTTTCCTTCCGTGACTGTATAGACGTAAGCTGTGCTCGTCTGTGTGCAGAGGTTCTTATTGAGAAACACATCTTCTTCGGATCTTTATGTGACCAAGGCTCTTGGATTTTATCCGACTCCCGTGGTATTATCAAGTTTATTTATTTCTTTTGTAACACTAACACCACAGCCCAGACACTACTGGGCAACAAAACTGCCGAGATAATCGGCCTTTCCAACCGGAACACCCTTGGATCTCAGAATCGCGTATCCTGCATTCAAATGGAAGAAGAAGTTTGGAACTCCGTGGCTCAAAGCTGCCTCCTTCGCGGTAACCTTCAACGTCTTGCCACCAAAGATAGGCCTTGAATAATGTTAGATATCTCTTCTATATTCTGTCTCGTTTCATGGAACAAGCACTTACAAGTCAACTTGCGAGTCGGCCTTGGCGTTGACAGTCGCCGCGTCGACCTTGCTCAGGAGGTCCAGAGCATCCTTGATGCGCTTGTGGAGATCCGCGATAGTCTTCTCCGTGTTCTCGTACGGCTCCAACTCAACACCGGTCAGACGGCTGATGTTGGTCTTGACAGTCTTTGTCGCATTTTGGACCTGGAAAGTGAGGGGGAGTTGGTCCTCAACAAGACGAGCCTCTGGGTAAGTGTTGGCATCCACATTGTTGGCCTTGGCATGCTCCTCAGCCTTTGTCAGGATGTGATCAAAGGTCTTGAGGCCCTTGGTGAAAGTGGGAATGACTGCGTCGTAGACGGTCACTGATGCCATTGTTTCGATGTTGTGATGTTGAGATGAGGGGAAATTGAGGAGAAGACCGGAAGTCTCGGGAAACAGAGCGAGAGGTTTTATAAGAGTTGATAGAGTTCAATCGTCTGTGTGACCGGCTTCGAAACACTCACCATGAAACGGATTTTCAGGCCGTCTTATATAGCTATGTAAATCAACAAAGCGGTACATCACGGATTGGTAAGTTGTACAGCAGGATTGCGTGCTTGGTAAGCGCTCTCATCAATGCGCCTGCAAGTCAATCTCACAACAAGCGGTCACCGCCAGGAACGCATCTGATCTAACGCAGATCTCACGCCTTTTGGTTGGGTTCCTGATGTCGCGATGGTCCGGGGATGAGGGGCCTCCCCTGGGCTTTTCCTTTTATGGGCACTTGTTCTGCGGTTTTCACCATCTTAGTGGAACGTCACGTTATCGGTTCTCAGATGGCGTCATCAGCCTCTCCTTCCAACCCTACGATATCGCTACGCAGGTTGCGTTGAATGGAACAATATGAACAAGAGCATGACTCTAGACTGATTAATAATAGCTTTCCCAAATCGCGTCGAATCGTTTTGTGCAGGGGAAGTATAGATGTTGAGACTCTTGGTCCGAAGTCGGGTTGAATCCCCAATGCCACAAAACTAGTGATGGCGAATACCGTCGGATGATAGGAGCATCAGGCCTTGCAAAAGCCCGTAACATGGGATAGATGCGGCTGCGTTCAACTGCAGCTTGCCTATTCTCGGGTCTCGAGAGCGAATCACTGGCTCATACATATTGTGTGGCTTGTCGTGACAAAATTCTCTCTGAAGAAAAGGCCGCAATCAGTTTGCTCTATGTGCTCTGCTTCCGCCGTGTCGTAGTTGCCCCATCATCCCTAATCATTCATACCGTCAAAGTTTGAAGACCTTAGAGCTACTGACCTCGAAAACTCATTGCGATGCACCATCATCATACTTACGAGAAGCGGAGGTTCTCGCTACGATATGGGTGTTATCTCAATGATGCTAGTACCTGGTCAACATCCGTCCTCTTTTTTAGAGTGATACTCACGTCGGCAGCACTGAAAGCAAGATCATATTCTGGGGGCAATTTAACTCCCAGTGTTCTCATCGTTCTTTCGCATCCTCTAGCTTCTAAATGCTCCCGTGTGCCTACCCTATGGTACTTTGACCGGAGTCGGCGAAGTCGGACTAACAGACTCAAAAGACTATGCTCGAATTTATGAGCTCTCAATAGGTTTTAAATTTAGTTATTCTGAGTGTTGAGAGATAAATGATTACATGTAAAGACAGTATTTGAGTTGTGGCTTTGGAAATTAGCCACGCAGGATGTGTGCTTTGGAGACAGCAGACTAGAAATACGTTTTGACTCTTTTTGCCCGGCCCAAGTAGTACTTTTCCACGGAGAAATTCCCTTCTAGGAACTATACCTAGCATGAGAAAACTTGAGAAAGGTAAGTTTCGAAGTATATTAAGTCTTAGATGTGGGCCATTCCATAACAAGTTCAGCTCCGTACATCTAAAACCAACTTGAACATGTCGGAAATGTGACAACTTATTCAAAAAACTATTAGGTTCTGCGAGACCATCAAGACATGGGAGATTTCGCCATGTGCCTCTAAAGCCAAAGGAGATGTCTTGCATCGATGCTTTGCTTTTCCATTTGTTACTTGATTATAACCAACAGGTCGCGCCGCACATGTGCATCGGGCCAAAGATGTGGAGAGGCAAGTAAAGAATATAGTGAGGATATAACGGGCTTCCGACAGGCACAAACAAGATATGGCCATCCAAGATTGAACAATCCCGCGGGGAATAGCCGGATGTGTCTATGACGACTGCTAAGGAAGATGCTGCTCCTGCGTATCCTATGGCAGCCATGTTTAGTCTCGTGGGGGGTTGGCTAACATCTGCCGAACTTACCCCTCATCTGAAATCGTTCACCCAAACACCAGCCTTGCCAAACCTACCAATCCATGGAGATGCGCGGGTTACACTATTCTTTTCGGCTTTAAACCCGGCATGGCGGTCATGTCGGATTGCCGTGAGCCGTGGGTAGTGTGTCGACGAACCCCAATGTTGCTGCAGTGGGCATTTCTCCCTTCAACCACGACAGACCCGGATCTCATGAGTAGGCATAGGCAAGCTCAGGCAACGTGTGACTTTCATCGAAAGCACTATACCATTGGATAATTCGCAGAAAGCATTTGACAGAGACTTGAACCCTTTTGATCATTCACCATGATCCAGAACGATGGTGTGCCGCATCTCACAACCAATGGCAACTCCCTAGGAGACATGCAGTGAGTTTAGCTCTGTATCCTCCACTTAACTATTGCAAATGGCATGCTCAAAGAAGCTCGTGACAGGAAAGAAGTAGACTACTCATGGGCGGCTCCTCTTCTTGAGCGGACCATTGACGCTGATCGCAAAGTCCGGGTCATCTGCGTTGGCGCGGGGTTCAGTGGCATCGGGGCGTCAATTCACATGCGAGAGCATATACGAGACGTTGACTTCCAGATTTACGAAGCTGCGGACGATGTCGGCGGAGTGTGGCATCACAATCGATACGCAGGTGCCGCCTGCGACATCCCAGCTCACAGCTACCAGTACTCTTTCTGCCAGAACACCCAGTGGTCGGAGTTCTATGCGCCTGGCCCAGAGATTCACAGATACTTGAAGAGAGTTGTCGATCACTACAAGTTGCAAAGCCTTATCAAGCTGCGTCACAGAGTAGTTGGTGCCCAGTGGTCCCAGGAACACGCAAAGTGGTCTGTCAGAGTGTTAGATCTAGACAAGAATGAGGAGAAAGTAGATGAGGCAGATTACTTTTTGTATGCCACTGGTCTTTTGTCAAAACCCAAATGGCCGACGATTGCGGGTAAGCTCACATCCCATAATTGAGAGGCTTTAGACAATGCCCATCAAGGCAATCACGGCTGGACTAATGAATAGCGAGCAGACCGAGAAAGATATAGGGGCATCTTGCATCATTCTGCAAATTGGGATGCTGCCAAGGAGGAAGCTCAAGAAGGATTCTCATGGAAAGACAAGAGAGTTGCTGTCATCGGCGTAGTAAGTCACAGACACAGTCCTAATAGACAGCTCTTCAGTTTCTCTGACCGTATTGCGTTTGTCTAGGGGTCTAGTGCAATTCAGATTATGCCACAAATGCAGAGGAAAGCGAAACATGTCACAAACTTCGTAAGGAGTCGCAGTAAGTACACCAGTATTTTTCCGCAGGGATTATTGACAATTTATTTACCAAATAATCATTGCCAGCTTGGATCTCGTCTACGTTTGCCTCGGCCTTTCTTGAACGCCTCAATGAAGGTGCAGGAGCTAGTAATCGTAAGTTGGTCCCTTACGGAAGCCAGAAAGTCGAGCTCTGTGATACTGAAGTTATTCAGATGCATTCTCTCCTGAAGAAAAGAAAAGCTTTACAAATGAAGAGTTATACTCTCAGTTCCGTCGGGAGTTAGAGCGAGGCCTCAACGCCGTACACAAGATTACCGAACAGGGCCAGCCATTGCAGCTGGAAGCGCGAAGAATCATAGAGGAAAAGATGCTGGAGAAGCTTGCATCCAAACCTGAGATTGCTAAGAGGCTCATACCCGACTTCCCAGTTGCCTGCAAACGCCTCACGCCAGGGCCGGGTACGCTCAACAAAATCTCACTTGCACACCCCCTTCAACCATCTTTGGAAAACTTGGCTAATATGAGACGATTTCTTGCAGGTTACCTCGAGAGTCTGACAGCAGACAATGTTGAGTTCTGTTCTCAAGAGCTAGCATCATTCACTGAGAAAGGGCTCGTGACAGCAGATGGCCGCGAACTTGAATTTGACGCAATTATTTGCGCTACTGGCTTTGTGAGCTGCATTCGCTATTCATTGACTCATCTCAGGATTAACACACGTAAACAGGATGTCTCTGCTGTACCCAGCTTCCCGATTCATGGCGCAAATAACGTCAATTTGCAAGACATGTGGGTCAAAGATGTCAAACAGTACTTGGCGGTCTGTGTTCCTCAGATGCCTAACTTGTACGTAATAATGAGGGTTCAATTTCCCTGGCTATTGCATCCGCTTACCTGTTTGATAGCTTCCCAATCCTAAGCGCCCAGTCTGGTGTTGGCTCAGGGTCCTTGCTCATCCTGATGGAGCAACAAATTGCCTACGTCACCAAGTGTATCCAAAAGTGCATCCGGGAAGGTTACAAGAGCATCGTAGTGAAGGACGACGCTGTCGAATCATTTCTTCGGTACGCAGACAACTACTTTGACAGAACTGTGTATTCAGGTGAGCCGTTTGTTACCAAGCTTTCTTTCAGAACTCGACGGCCGGGAAAGAAACTAACTCCATCTACTATGGTTCTCACGATTCAGGCAACTGCAAATCGTGGTACAAGAACGGAGCTTCTGGAAAGGCCAAGATCCGAACCCTATGGCCTGGGTCTTGTTTACACGGGTACACCGCGCTGCGTCACCCTCGATGGGAAGACTTCGAATATGAGAGGGCCGAAGACTATGACCATCGCATGGCATGGCTTGGCAACGGAGATGTCCGACCGGATCTTGATCGTGTGTTCTATTTGGACGAAATTTGGGCGATGCACAAGGTTTGTCCACAACAGGTTTTGACACATTTACTACCCCATTCCTCTACTGACTATGACGATGGTAGGATCATCCAATGTTCAATGATTGAAGATTTAGGTAGGCATATTATGCGGGGACTCACCCGCATATGCCCGCATCCAGGCATGTGTCAAATAAAGTACGTAGTAGAGTTTGCCGGTGGACTTAAGGTTGTTTCATGACCGGTTCCAGGACAAACATGGAGACAGAGAAACTTCCGGGGCAACATGAGTTTGTGTAATTCCCTAGAGCAGGAAAGTTTCGTCTGCGGCTCCGTTTACACGCGGACATCTTTGTACTCCACGGGATTAATTATGCCGCTCAAGGTGACGAATAGTTGTTTATCGAAAACCAAAATAGCGATTAAAACATCCCAGTACACACCCTTTCCTGCCAAGACACAATCATCATTTAGTTGAACAAAGCCTCGGAATCCAGGAGAAGTGGTGATTGTCGAGCGTATCACAAAATTCACGACGAACTACGGTGGTTGATCAACAACAGCTCTGGCTCTCGTTCACTTCCAAATCAGGCCTTAACACACTCAATGACCTGCATCTTCATATCCAGGCCATGAATCTTCTCAATCTTGAGCCCAGACCTAGCAACAAGCACCTCCCAGTCATTGGCTGTCCGTTCCTTTCCCCCAATTCCAAGCATGCTGAAGTCTGTCATGGCGCCAATGGGCGGAGGAGGGCTCGGAAGGACATACTCGACGATAAGTACCTTACTGTCCGAACTCATGGCATCCGATAGCTGCGTGAGCATCGTGGCGCAGTCGTCGTCTCCATAGTCGTGCAGACATCGCCGGATCCAATAGATCAGTGCGTCTGCATGTGTCAGCTGATCTTCACGGACACGAGAGAGACTTAGACAGCATGTAAACGTACTTTTGACAGGTTGCGCTTCGTGGAAGTCGTGTACCTGTAGGTGTACCCCATCGAGCCCCGAATCTTTGAGTTCCACAACCTGTTGAATCACCTCATCTCTGTCCTGGAGAACTATGCGATCGGCTGGAATAAAAGGGTTCTCCTTCATAATCGCCTTGATGGCGTGGCCCTTGCTGCCACCCACATCCACGAGAAGCGGTCTGTCATGCTGCTCAGACAGCCTCGTCTCCACCCAGCCAAAGTCGTAGATACCAGCTAGAGGAATGAATGACTGCACCATTTCCATAACTCCCATGAACCTCTTTACCTGTGCAGGGTTCTCTTGGTGAATCTCCCAGATCTCCTTTTCTGGCTGACCGCGTGAAAAGGCATAGGGAGTGTGCTGGCGAGTGGCTGGCTCCCGGCGGCCGTACTGTTCAAAGTACTCGGGCAGCTTCAGAGCCGTCGTAACATGTTCTTCGAACCTGGCGAACATGTCAGACGATTGGTCAGTGAACGAGTGAGTCTACTCAAGTCTCACATCATGTGTAGCAGGAGTTCATTAGGTGTCCCGGGAAGATACTCGCGTGACTTCTCTGTATGCGCGATCTTGTCGTCATCAACCTGACGCAACATCCCACTAGAAACAAGCACCCAAGCTAGCCGTCCTTTATTGATGTCAGTTTCGACGTTCATCGACAGGTTGGGTAGTTGAGTGAGCCGACTTACGAAGTAAGGGCTCCTCCGCTGACAGCTTTTTGGCCAACTCAGCGTATGTTATCGCGCCCTCCGATGGTATCATGGCCAGTGCGTTCCAGTCAAGGAGCAGTTTGAGTCCAGTCAATTCCATTACATTTATCATCCGGTCCATCCAATCTGGTGTCGGTCCTCGAGCTGCCGCGAGGATCCTGCGGGCTATGTCAACGGCGGCGCTGTTCTTTTCAACATCGCTTGAGGTCGAATTTGCCAGCTGCGAAAGCTGAGTTGCTAGCGTATTGAAGGTCTTGGAGGGGTCATTCATGATTGAATTGCGGTTGAGGTGATGAATCTGGTTCACTGAGGTGTGTGTTTGCGAGGTTTTGAACGAGGACTTGGTGGCGAAACTATCTGAGTTTCAAGAATCTCTCCTTCGATATATATCTACGCGCTGCAATGCAAAATGAGCACTTCAGGCCAAGGTCCGGCTTACATCGAGCGGAGATGAATTCACCGAGCAAAATCACCGATTCCGGGGTGGGCCTCGAGAGGCCGAAGGTCGCCCCGCTCTGCCGTTATCCCCGCGCCGAGAGCGGGGCCGAACCCTTCGGGCTTTTGGCAGGGGGCTCGCTGTCTCCTTGGTTATGGAAAACACGCGGGCAACCCCCGAAAAGACCGTAGGGCATCCCCGGACATTTCCAGCTGTGTTTGTCAGTCGAGACCCTCAGCCTCCCCAGCTCCAGTCAGCTGAAGTGCGAATCGCATTCCGCGGATGGCTGTCACATCAGCTTACTCAGTGGTTTTCGTCCCATTCGTTGGCCGCCTTTGCCGCCATTCCGGTACGGCGAATAATCGCACTCGCATCGGCATCAAACTCTCGACTCGATGTAGTCAGGGACATGACATGAGAACGGCACTACCACGGCTCTGTCTGACAGTCTTCTCGAACAATTCCCGCGTTCCATTCTCTCTCTGCAGCGACCCTGAAGGGAACGGATAGGCCGTGTTCCCGCGCAGTCTGCAACCCAACACCAAACCCCAAAGCCGCGTTTGCCCATTTGCAAAACCCCCCCTTTTGCCTCTTGTTCCGCTTCCAGGCGACTCATGAATTGCCAGAAGAGGGAAATGGGTGGTCGAAGGAGGCGACGCATAGTCCATCATGCAGGGTCATTGGGCAACAGAGACCGACGGGGCCAATCTGTCTCTGTCTTGGCAGTCTCTGCTCTTGTCTTCCGGCCTTTCCTATCGTGTTCCGGTTCGATGTTTGTCAATGAACGGAGGGGCCTTGCGTCGCTGGATATGGGTGGCAGCCTATCATCCGTCATGCCTTGTCAGCCGATTAGGCCATATGCGACCAAGACACGCCAAAACCGGCGGCGACATCATCGCTTCCCCAGCTGCACAGGGTATGAACGGCCAAGACGATGCCGCGCATTCCCCACATGAAGAAACTGCGAGCCACGAGAGGCAATAGGTGCCCTGGTGGAGCTAGAGATGCCATACTGACCTTCGTTTTCGTGGGGATCGGTAGTTTCCTCATACATCTTAACCCCGTTTCCCTTAGTGCTAAGGTTAAATCTAGTGCCATTTTGGCGCAGAGCCGTGAGCCGTGAGCCGTCAACTAGTGCTTGGTCTCCGCCATCGTAACCCTTGCGGCGATCTAGAGCCTGACCCCGTTTGACCCTGTTTGGAGACCATCCCGGTTACGCGAAGCCCACCAACCTGGAGAGAGTTTCTCCTCTACATTACCCGAATAGGAAACCCATACATTGGTTCTGAAGACCTTTTCCTGGCTTGTGCGCGGGAGGCTGGGTGATGGGCTCTGGGGTGATGAGTTGTTTGCTGCATTTGAGTGCCCAGATCGTCGGCAAGTCCCTGTAAGCCATCGGCGAATGACAGATGTCGTCGCGCCTGAAGTTCTTTGACTCTCTTACTCGAATCGTTGGTGAGGGGGTGTGGTGGTGCAGACCAACCCCAAAACGGTAAGATGGTGAGAAGACGACAGAGCCTCAACCCTGCGGTCTTCCCCCATTGCCACACATTGTCCGGAGGGAGGTCCTTGGCATGGGAATCTCAACGTCTCCAAACGTCTCACGATTTTGTGAACAAACGTTGCCGCTCAGACATGGGGCTCCTTGTACTTTTCCCAAAAGGTAGCTGCAGTCGACTTTGTGAGACGACTTAGACGGCCGAGTTTCGTTTCATCTGAACTTCAACGCTCGCAAGCGCGCACAACTGACTATTTTCCTCCCCACACCAACGGCAGACATAACACAAATTCGCACACACTTTGACATGGCGCAATCCTGGATCCGTCAATACACACTGGTAGGGGGGCGACATGATGGCCAATACGCCATGGAAGCTAGTGCTGCTCCCCTCAACTCAACGACGACAGCCAAGAAGATGCAGCTGACTTGGACGTGAAGACTGGGCCCAACGTGGCACGTAATCCGTGCCCCTCCTCCACCACAGAAACAAGGGAGGGCTCTCGAACACCTTGAGACGTCCGAAGAAACTGCCCGCAAGCCGTGGTGCCGTTGGCCTGGTGCGATAATAATATCCACACCTCTATGGTTTCCATCGTCTCAGGCTTCGGGGGCTGTGCGTATATTGGGCCTATCTTGGTGCAGGGGACTTAGAGTTGCTGCCGAGGTGAACTCACCAAGATGTGCTTCACTGCTTCTGCCCGTGGCACATGAGGTCAGCGCGCAGCCATCCGGTCACTCATATATCAGCTTGATGGTTCCCGGCTCACAATCGGGGATGAAAAAGCATCCTCATCCATCAAACCTTGTCAGCACAGACTTTTCCAACGCTTTTTACTTATATACTCCCGGGTTGGAGACTTGTTTCTACTTCTTAGCCTATTCCTAATCATCCCTTGATACCACAACAGATCACTCTGGCTAGTGACTTACTACCAAAATGCAGCTGACCAAGACTCTCCTCTTCGCCCTCGTCGGCACCGCCTTCGCCTCCCCCATCGAGAAGCGTCAACTCTCCGTCATCCAGGGCGCCGTCACCTCCGTCCAGGGAGCTCTCACCAAGCTCAACACCGCTGTCCAGGTACGTTAGTCCGATCATCGGGCATATGGTACCGTTGGAAAGCTTCGGCTTCGATCTGGTGCAAAGATGGGATATGCCGGAATGCAGAACACTGGGCATTTTGACTAACACGCATACTCTAGGGCGTTGGTAACGATGTCGCATCCGCACAACCTATTCTGGCTGCCTCCACCGAGGTCCAGAACACCCTGTCAAAGGCCGCCACCGACATTCAGGGTGCTCAGCCTCTCCAGCTTCAGGAGGCTCTCGGACTTCAGCAGACCGCTACCGATCTGACCTCGTCCGCAACCACCTTGATTGACACTCTCGTCTCCAAGAAGCCCAACTTCGACCAGATTGGTGTCTCCAGCGTTGTCCTCCAGAACCTCCAGCAACAGAAGACCGCCTCCGCCAGCCTCGGAACCGCCATTGTCTCCAAGGTTCCCGCTATCGGCCAGGGCATCGCACAGCAGAGCATCGACCAGATCACTGCCGCCCTCGACAAGGGCATCCAGGCCTACTCCGCTGGTGGTGCCGCTCCCGCTGGTGGTGCGTAGAGCACCCCCCCTCCGTCGCGCGCCGTCCCCCGCGCCTCCCCCGTTTCCGTCCGTCCGTCCGAGAATTTAAACATAATCGAATACTAACCATGGTACTCGTGCTTTCCAGCCAAACCTGCGACTAACACCACTGCTCCCCCTGCTGCTGCTCCCGCTAAACCCAAGACTCCTGCTGCTGCCCCTGCTGCCCCGAAGACACCCGCTGCTGCTCCCAAGGCCCCCGCTGGGGGTCTTGAGGGTCTGCTCGGTGGTCTCCTCGGTGGTGGTGCGGGCGGTGCTGGTGGCGCCGCCGGCGCCGGAGGCTTGGGTGCCCTCCTCGGAGGTCTCACGGGAGGTGCAGCTGGCGGTGCGGCGGGCGCTGGTGGCGCTGGAGGAATCGGTGCCCTTCTCGGTGGTCTTACTGGTGGTGCGGCTGGAGGTGCGACGACGAAGGCGAACGTGGTCGATTTGGCAGAAGACGCAGCAGAGGAGGACGAGGAATAAAGTACAGACCGGGATACTCCTTACAGCTTGTTTAGCCTGTAGCAAATCATCATTGAGGCTTTCTTTCACCATCACAGTTATCGATTAAATTGTGCCTTTCGTGGTGGCTTTCGTTAATTTGTTGAGCTGACTTTTCCACACTCTCATATCATTTATGATCGTTACGACTTGACCATACTGTGCTAGCCATGTTTGACACATCAATAGCTACGGCCTTGACATTCCACATGTTGCGAATCAGGTGGTCAGGATGGGCGTTGGGTTGCCGCTCATACGAACATAGCAAAACTCAGCGGCCTCCTTCGTATCGGAGCAATACTGGCATCACAGCCTGTCTTGGACGTTATCTGACGTGCGGTGGGCAGAGCATTGCCAGATTCCCCGGATTTGAGCACTTGGTGAAACATATCTAGCGTCGATCTTACGACAGACCCAGCTGCACAACCTCACGTCGCAGCGGCATAGCCTGGTTTCGTAGATCTCTCCACTGGATACTCGTTTACTTTCTTTGGCGAGAGAAAATTATACTACGCAAGCTTACCAGGCTTTGGGCCCCCGCGTGTTGGCTAACTTGGCGAAACCTTACTCTCGTATGTCAATAGCCTATAGGGCTGTCATGCGCGGCAGGCCAGTCGCCTTTCTAAACTTTTATCTTGTGATGCCGCGGCGCCCGATGGTGGTTTGACCACCCACCCCTGACAGCAGCTGACAATTGCTGGTATTTCAACATCAAGACAACGCTAGTCGTTGAGTATGTTATGATCAAGAACAACTTATGCCGTTCGTCTTCCCCGCAAAGCATTCTCGTGACAGAACTTTCTCCGCGTGGGATCAAACCCTTTTGTTAATTACTCCTGTCTCTGATAACCACAACGTCACTGCCAATAACTGCAATGACGTTCCCCAGGAACACATGCCAACCGATCGACCGCGCGCTAGCATCAAAGACGGCGTGTCACCCAGATCCGGTCTGCGCTTCGGAGGATTGGCGACGCTCCCGTGATCCCTGGCAGCTCGATGTTACATGGTAGACCTTGAACCGAATACTGACAGGGCGGGAGGGCCAGGGTCCCCAGTTAACCGAGACGTGTCTCTGGCACTCGGAGCCGCTGCTCTGTTGATCCAATCGCATCTCGATCCTGGACTCGTCAGTCGATCCTTGTTTTCTTTCACGTCTGCATCTTGTCAGCACCCTACTTAGTGTGCTAGTTCTCTTACGACAGCCCCAGAAAGCTGTGTTTGATCCTCACGATCAACATCATGGAGTTGGTTAGTCTCTAAGGGGCTCAGCCGTTTCGGCGATCGAATCCTACGACGCACAACTATAAGCGTGAAGTATAGGCATACTACATGCATATTTGGAATGAGGTAATATACCTGCTACATTTTCTCACGCGAACACTAGGTATGAATAGCAGACTCTCATGATGTTCAAAATCGAGTAATTCCGATGTCATAAGATCATGTTGGTAACAACCTCGGCTCAGGTTTTTGGCATTGTGACCCCCGTGCCTTACTCCAGACATCCAGAATCCAGTATGGGCTACGAAGTGTGTACAATTCAAGTCTACTGTGGTTGAGAATTTGCGATACTTGCAGCAGGAATGAGAATCCAAAGTTTTGAATTATTTCATGGTCTAGTAACTTCGAACTCTGCGACACAAGTGCAATCGCATCAAGAACGTACAATATCCTCATCAGAGATGAAATGTGAACCTCCCGCGCACCGGAACCCCGTACTCTGCTTGATCCACTCAAAATTCATCGGGCATCGGCCCATCATCGCGGCTTTCTTGCGCTGCTCTTCTTCTTTCTTCCGTCGCTCTTCTTCCTCAATAACCTCCTTGAGAATCGCCTCCCTGGCAGCCCCCACTGCTTTGCGCTTCTTCTCGAGCATTTCTCGGTACCTGGCGTCTTTTTCCTCTTGAGCCCTCTTGTCCTTCTCCAATTGTTCCCAGACTTCATCGCTGACACCAGCATCGCGTGTTGCTTTCCGACTGTCGTCACTGACTTCCACCACCAGACATTCGGGAGGCGTTGATTCTGCTTCCTCTTCAGTGGCTTCGGTGGCGGTTTGTGCATAAGCTGTTGGTTGCAAGCTTTGCGTTCGAGGGGGTAATGACATCTGCTGAAATAATTGCCCGAGCTTGGGCACGCCACGCATAGTCCCTGCCTGCTTCTCCCGGCTTTCGCGCTCATCGAGCATCTTGGAGAATTCTTTCTTCACAAGATCTTCGTCGATTGTCACCTGTCGGTCGCAGCGAGACTTGATCGCGATGTTCATGATTGACTTGGCAAGGCTTTCCACATCTCGAGCGCTAGCCCATCCGGCGGTTGTGGTGAGTTTGTGAAAAATGGCGACAATTCCCCTCTTGAAATCGGGCGATGGACTTGATAGACAATCCATTACGAGATTATTAGATGAATTCTTGCTGTGAAGAGTTCGCTTCTTCTTGAGTAGAATCTGCAGCAGAAGCTCGTAGCAACTCTCGGGGTTAAGGCTGTGGAAGTCGATGACTTCTGGGAACCGACTTGACATTCCCGGGTTGACTGAAAGTAGTCGATTGATGTCCTCGTCGTATCCAGCCAGTATGATTACAAGGCGATTCTTGTACTTATCCTTCGTCACCGAGTCGACAACCTCATCAATTGCCTCTTTGGCATATGGTCCTTCCGCAAGACGGTAGGCTTCATCGACAAACAGTACTTTTCCAAGAGCCTTTTCCAGGAGTTGTTGCACTTTAGGGCCGGTCTGGCCCGTGTATTCGCCGATGAGATCGGATGCAGAGCAGTCAATAACTTCTGCCTTAGCCAAGAACCCCATGTCGTAGAAGACTTTGCCCATCTTTCTCGCTGTTGAGGTCTTGCCCGTACCTGGAGGGCCGCGGAAGAGGAAGTTGAATGGAATACTATCCTTTGGGTCCATATTCAGTGCCTTCATAGAACGTACTGTCTCCTGGTATCCCTCAAGGGTGGCGACAATCTTCTCGCAACCAACGGTCCCCTCGAAGAGTTTAGCAACATTGGTCTGAGCCCGATCTGCGCGGTCAAAGTCGTGGTCAAAGTCCAGAGCTTCAAGTGTAGAGACGTGATGGCTTTCTTTAGCTGCCAGTCGTCGCTGATGACGTGCCTTTGCCTCGTTCAGGAGATTGTCCACTTCTCCTGCATTGCCAAAGTTCGGTCGGTTGCGGGCCCTTTCGAGCATCTCTGAAGCGACTCTCTTGGCCTGATCAGTGGCAGAAAACCCTTGTAACTTGAGCTTGAGGTCCAAGATCTTCCGCATATCTGCCTTCTCGAAGTCTTCGAAGACAAAGGCTGACGACAATGGAAATCGTCGACTTAGGCCCGGGTTGACATTTTGCATCATCTCCTCCATCTGGTCCTTGTAACCCAGAAGAAGAACACATCGATCTTCTCCTGGAACACTTTGGACCTCGGCAACGATGGTATCTACTACCGCAGTCTTATAGGGGTCAGAATTCCCCCCAGCTGAGTTACTGCCCCCGTATAGTCCGTAAGCCTCGTCAATGACGAGAACTTTACCGACGGTCGACGCTAATATGCCTTTGGTCTGGGCCTCAGAGCCCCCTAGTACAGCACCCGTGAAGTCCGCCGGACTTTTGGCAATCACTGTGAAGTATCCATGTCAGTATAGGAATTCCTAGGTACTTCAGGTACACCAGCTTACCCTCTCCATTCGATAATAGACCTAAGTCAACCAGGATCTGCGCGTACAGCTTGGCGACAGTGGTTTTTCCCGTTCCTGGCGAGCCGAGAAAGACTTTATTGAGCGTAAACTCGATGATGGGCTCTTCCGCCAGCTCGCGAACATAGTTGGTCTGGATGCTATCGATCAAGGCTCGAACGGATTCTTTGACTGAACGAAGGCCGATCAGTGTCTGCAACTTCCCCCAAGCTTTACTGTGCTCGAGGGCAACTGAAGGTTCAGGTCCAACCAAATCCTCCATTGTGAACAAGAGATCGTCCGGGTTCGCGCCCCCTTGATGAGCCTTCCGAATACGATTGGCCTGCCGGCTGGAGACAATGGAAAGGAGACTTTCAACTGCTCGCGCATTACCAAACCCTTCCTTTCCGCGCCCTCGTCCAAGTCTACGACAGGCGACGCGGAGATAGAGATCATCTTCCCACTTCATGCGGCATCCGTACTTCTTGTCAATCTGGAACTGAAGGATCTTCAGAAGCTCATCATCGTCGTAGTCGTCAAACTTCATCGCAATCGGAAACCGACTTGGAAAGCCAGGGTTGTGCGCGAAGAAAGACTCCATCTGTTTGTTGTACCCAGCGAGAACGAAGACAATCTTGCCGGTATGGTTCTCAACTTCCGCGAGCAGGAGATCAAGGACTGCGCGGCCACCAGGACTATTGCCTGAGGATAGTTGATATGCTTCGTCAATGAAGATCACACCACCGCCGTCATTCAAAATGTCATCCAACAACTTCTGGCAGCCAGGCACACCCAGAGACGCTAGTTTCGATCCAGACGTCTCTTCGAAGCGACTGCCAGCTATGACACCCACCGACACCAAAAATTTGGCAAAGATCCGTGCTACCGTGGTTTTGCCTGTGATCAACATATCAGCCACCGAACAACACTAATTGTCACTGCGATTCAGCCTTACCTGTTCCGGGATTTCCCAAGAGGGAGCAGCCAAACCTCTCCGTCGACAACAAAATCCCCTGTCTCACCGCTGTGTCGACTTTGGACTTGATGGAGAGAAACTCCTCTTTGATGCTCTCGAGCCCGATCATCTTCATGAGTTGATCCATGACACTGCTGCTAGCACCGAATTTCGACTTCAAATTCAGCCACTCTTCCTCTGCGCTTCCGGGTTTTGGGGCTGGGCTCGCTGTATGTTTTCGTTCATCTGGAAAAGCACCCGTGCCGGGAACTCTCTTGGGAGCTTCTCTGGCAGCCTTCATAGTCTCAGCACGAACCCTCGTCTGCTGCAGAGCTCTCAGTTCTTCTTTGCGTTCTTTTAGAGTCTTATTCTGCTCGAGGTTCTCTTGTTCATTCTTTATCAGTCTTCTCTCACGATCCAAGTCGTCTTCTACCTGTTGTAGGTCTTGAG